CGAACAGGGCGCGCAGGCCGAGGTACAGGGAGCCGTAGTATTTGCGGTTGATGGAGTCCTTGTTGCCGGTAATGAGGTTGCCCAAGATATCGATGCCGTCGTTTTCAGCCAGCACGACCTTGTTGATGCTCTCCTGTTGGGAGGAAGGGAAACGATTTACGTAAATATTTTGTTTTTGATTTTGAAGGTGTTGCGAGTTTTTTTTTGTTTTATCAGTACCTTTTCAAGCGTTTATATCGCAATTATATGAGATAAATTTTGTATTGAAATTGAAAAGTCAAAAATTTTCTTTTTTGTGTATGTTACTATTACTTAATGTTACTTTTAAGTCTCTACTAGACGTAATACGTCTCTTACGTCTCTTACTAGACGTAATTGTTTGTGGATTTAATAAAAGTAGATTATTAATGAGTTTACTAACGGATATGCGTGTAATGGTATTAAAGAGAACAATTTTATTCAGTAAAGTTACCAAATATACCCAGTTATTTTAAAAGTAACTCTAAATCGTAGTTAAAACTTTTTCATTTTCATTTAGTTCAGTTACACAGTGTATCGAATAAGAAGAGTAATATCAAAATTTTTTTCTAGTAATCGCTATTACAGTAACACGGTTATAAACACTTTTAACAAATTGTTTTGTTACAATTTTTTGTAACAAATTTAGCGTTTTGTATATGAAATCACAATCTTTAGTGGACTCTATGCCCTGTAAATAAAATTGAAATTTATAGTATAACTAATGTAATGGGCAAACCAGAAGATCCAATTTCCCAACTTTCCATATTTGTTTTGTTGATGCAACTATACATGATTAAATAGTTATTAATATTACGAGTATTATATTTTATATTCAATACTATTTCAAACATTACGTTTATTTAAATATTTATTTATTACGATTATAATGTATTTTTATTTAAACTTTTTTGATGTTATTTAGTTTAGAAATTTATTTATGAAGTATGATCAACAATTAATTTCAACTTACTAAATTTTTGAGACAATTATTTTGAGTTTGATAACTTTATGTTCCATATTGTATTCGACTGGTAGCGTAAGTTCCAAATCGCGAAATGCGGCGTTGAGTATCGATTGAGGCAGAATTTCGACTTCATTTACTCATACAACACGTAAGTTCTAACGAAATGCAAGCAGAGATCATTTGAGTAGGAGTGGTGTAATTCAGAAAATGAGTTTGATTACTTACGTCGAAGGCGACTCCAAGATCGATGGCGTCCTGCAGGCGGCGTTCGAGGTTCTTCACCACTTCGATGTCGATGATGTCAACATCGCTGACGATGACTCCCTCGGGGCGGGCGGGGAAGGGGATGCCGTTGTGGTACGTCAGCTGAGGGGCGTAGCCAGTCTGGGAAACCAAATAAAAAGTATTTCAGCTCCGTTTTGGCAGACAAACATTATTTTCGAAAGACGTGTAGCTTTTACGTTATGTATCCTTATTATTCAATTTCAGTAGTACGGGCTTGGAGAAGTGGAATTTCCAGGAGTAAGAAGTTATTGGGAATGCTTATTGTTAAATATATGTAAACGCAAAATTACGAAAATGTACTGGTTTTGAAAACCAAAATTATGGTACATTCAAGATAATTGAGCAGGTATGAAAATATATTCGTATTATAGGAGACGCACCGAAGAAAAAAAGAGAATAAATATAGTCGTAGAAAAATCGAACAAAATCGATTGAGGGATGTGAGAACACGAGGGTAGAAATCCGATGATCGCAGATTGCATGAGGCGAATGCTCACCAGGGGCTTGCTGTGCACGTCGTAGTCGATGGGGTAGACGGGGGGCAGGCCGTTGGACAGGCGCTCCAGCTGGTAGCGGTTGAACAGCTGCTGCAGGTAGTAGTAGAAGATCTCTCCGCGGCGCGGCGCCACGCCGACGCCGTACTTGGAGGCGCTGAACCACACGGGGTACTCGTAGTTGAAGTAGGTGTGGAAGGTGCTAAGACCGATGTCCTCGGTGAAGTAGTTCAACAGCTGCTCAGGGTTGGACACCTGAAATGGGCCAGTCATTACGTTAATAAAGCAAATATTCTAGATCTAAAATATTCAAAATATAAACACGCAATCGCGGTGGAGTACAATTATAATAATTATTAGTTTGAAACCATGACGCGTGCAATACGCATTTTGAGTATTCAGAATACCTTTCTCTAAACAATGCATTAGAAATCTGATTAGTTATTAATTGTTGTTAAAGGGAGAAAGTCGATGAAATAACCATCGTCTTACATTCTCATATTAATTACATGTTTAAAAATGAAAGTACTTGTATCATCTGTGTTAGAAACTTATTTCACAGAAATTTAAAAAGGAGTTAAATCAAAATCAAATGATATTACGGATCATCCGACTACGATATCAAAGTAATATAAATGTTTCATTAAAGTAAAGGAGCGCGGGGCGGGGCGCGGGGCGGGGAGGCAGAGTCCGAGATAAAGCGACGCCTTAAAGCGGCGGCCGCGCCCTGCCCAGGCCACCACTTCCCCAGAGGAGCTGCCATTGAGGACGCCACGGTTCTGGTGCTGGCGCTCTCGCGGGCCTTCGCGCCGCCTCCGTTCATCCCGGAGCGCAGCGCAAAGTCGAGTGAGTGCTCGCCCCCCTCACCCCGTCACCCTCCAACCACTTTGCCACCGGCACCTAGAAACCGTTGAAAATCCCCCCACCGGAACCAGTTTGCGGCTGTGGCCGCCAGCTCTGCGTGAGTTGTGACCCGTGGGCCCCTCTGTCGCAGCGGACAAGGAGCTGCTGAACAAGCAGCGCGACATCCGCGTCTGCTGATCCGGCGTGCATCAGCCCAGCTACGTGGCCGAGGTGCTGGAGGTTGGCCCAGTCCTTCAACCCCTGAGGAACACCTCGGACTCTACAAAAGGACCAGGAGGTGCGTATATTCCATCGCATAGAGCGCAAATTTTCTCTTTGATCACCGCACTTATATTAAATTCAACAAGCGACCCCATTTGAAACGAGGAACTTAGAAGGTCTTTCTACAAGTCAACTTCTGTTCTCGTATCCATTTTTCTCTTGTCAATTTTCGACTGGAACCGGTTTTCCATACGCTAATTCGGAGATCCACCATAGTACACAAACGCCGTTAATGTTGGCTTTGGGAAATTACACACCTTAGATAAGAAATTATACTTAACATCACTGTAATAATGAAATTAAGCATTTAAAGAGCCCTACTGGACAACTAATAATACCCTTATTTTCGAATGACTAAACTCATGACCAATGTTTGATTAAACCACACAGTAGTAGTTAGGAAGAGGTTTTGCCCACATTTTTTGTCCCTTCCGAGCGGTTTCTTCGATGGTCCATTGCAAAAACGTCGAGTAGTGCCTTGCCGTGCTAACGGAAGTAGCGCTGAAAGTTTGCGGTGTTGCCGTGTCGCAGGCGGTGAAGAAGCTGCTGGCGCTGTACCGCGCCGGAGAGGCTGCCTGCCCGCACAAGCCTTCTCCGTGGTGGAACAAGCGCCACGTGAAGCAGGCCGTGCTGGTTCTTCGACGGCGCCTGTACCAACGCCCGTGGACTACCAGACCTTCTACAAAGACGGCCGCCTACCTTGCTGCGAAAACCGCATCAACGAAGGCCAGTTTCCATCTACGCCCTGAGCGTGGCCGTGCTGCACCGCCAGGACACACAACGACGTTGGTTGCTGGCCGCCGCCCTACGAGATCTACCCCCGAGTTCTTCGCTCAAACTCGGAGCATCATCCACGAGGCCACCGAGGAGTACCTGCAGGGCAAGGAGCTGCCCATTCCACCATCAAATGCAGCCTACTACACCAACAGCAGCGCCTGGTACTACACCTACCCGCAGGTAACCAAACTACCCCACCTGCGCCTCGGGGTGAATCCGTTTAACCATTCTTAAGAATTAACATTTTCACATTACGTGTAACATTTATTATCCTTATTATGATGCATATATTTGTTGTGTAACTAACCAAAAACTTTTAT